GTAGATCTACCCCGAATGGGCATGCGTCGCGGCGTTGAATTTTTACTCTCAACGCGCGTACAGACGTTTCACTTCAAAAAACGCTGTTGTTATTTAAAAAAAAATACCTTGTCGGATGTCCAAGACACTTTAGGGTTTTTTTGAAAATAGTAATAATAATAATCATTTATTTCTCTTTTCCAATATACAAAATATACGGATACCTATTTGTAGGAACTATGCGTGTCTATGCAATTTGAAATAAAGAATTTCATTATTAACCCTATCCTAACTTTAACTTTAACGTGCTTCTTATTTGGATTTGTTTTATTTTATGGATTTTTAAATTATACTATCTATTGCCTACAAAGATGACAAGATTAAAAATAGTTGAATTTACTACAAATATTATTTGCATTGCTGGCTGCATAAGAACAATATTGCAATACATTGCTCTATTTTAAAAGTAAACATTGAACGGGGGGAAATAAAAACAGAAAAATATTTACTTAGCACTTCTACAAGACTTAATTATTACTGAAAATTAAACATTTTATGTGATGTAAAGATGTAACTAAAAAGTAATTAGCGAATAAAGTCATTATTGTAATTTACCCTAAGAATTGCTAATATACAGGGTGAGTCTTAAATAAATACAAATATTTTTAGAGCTGCTAGATATCGATAACAGAAACATATATTTCTTCATATTTTCAGAAACGTTTTTCAAATAAGTCCAAAATAACCATGGTAAAATCAGAGAATAAAATGAACAGGCAGTTCTAAAAAGTTTTCGAAAAATATACAGGGAAATTTAAAAGAAAATGCACGATTTTCAATATCTTTTTTGGCGAAAAAACCTCATAGACGGTTCCTGCGGTCGAAATATACTACTCCTGAAAATATTTGCACTTATTTAAGACTCGCCCTCTATAATCATACAAAGCAGGCTTGATAAAAAAAAACTTTAGTTATACTGTATCTAAAGTTAAATTACAGTTTTTGGCGTGTAATCTTCAAATATAGATTTAATGTATCAAAGAGCCCATTTTTTTTAAATATTATATTTTTACAAATGAATCATATAATTGAAATTTTCATAAAGTCAAGATATCATGTGAAAGGTGAATGTCTAAAATCATACTACATAAGATATAATGTATTACAAAACACAAAATAATAAATATATCTAGTTAAAGTATATAACAAATCATATATCAAAATTTGACTATAAATAGTTAGTAAAATATATTAAGTACATGCTGGTTGCCTGCACCCACTGTACATATTTTTAAATGTAAAAATTTTAATAAAAATAAATTAAAAAGCCTCATACTGCATAAATGCATTTTTTGAGCAATCAAATGATAGGATATATGTAGTCCTTTATCATATTTATAGTATTAGTTATGAAACCCACTAAGTTTAAATTTCATAGAAATTTTAGTACATATATTTAAAATACGCATATTTACTACATATAAATATAATGGTCGATTATACCTGTCATTTTTATATTAATTAAAATAAATATTTCATATATATTTAGCTACCAATTTTAAAATAGCTGTTTAATACCACTCATTATGGTACTCCAAAATCTATAACCAGAAATGTTCTTTATGTACAAATATAATATTTCTAAATTGCTATATAACTCGGTTTCTCAATAAAAGAAACTCTAAAAAATTGAAAAACACTTTGACTTGCTTTTAAACTGAAAATATAATCTCATAATAAAAACACAAAATGTATTAAATCGATACACGCATCTAGGTGCGTTAAATCTGAGATCGGAAAGAGTTATGAATAAATTTAAGATATTGGCGAAAATCGTTTAGCAAGAGAATGTACAGGGGTTTCAGAGATATTTAGAGCGCTACCTAAAGACGTACCTATTAAGCGGCCCATACATTATCAAACAAATTGCGCAACAAAGCAATGCGCAACGTTGCGTTGCACAACTGATTCAGCGGTCCATACATTATCAAACAAGTTGCGCAACAAAGCGATGCGCAACGTTACGTTGCACAACTGCATTAAAAAACTGCACTTGGTAAAATTTTGATCAAACTTTTTATTAAAAGTTGTGATTTGTTCGAGTAACAATCGTGTCCTTAATTGCAATTGCGTCAATTATTATCGTATATACCCTAGATGATGTCGATGATACAAAAAAAAAACGAAAAAGATAACAAAGAATTTGGATGAAACAAAAATATTGCACAACGAAGCGCAACACACACATACACTACAGAACGCGTTGCGCAAACAGTCCTGTTGCACAAAAGAATTCAAACATTCTTAAAACTTATCAACCAATTGCGCAACGCATCAAACATTACCATAAGCGGCCCATACATTATCAAACAAATTGCGCAACAACGCGATGCGCAACGCTGCGTTGCACAACTGATTCAGCGGTCCATACACTATCAAACAAGTTGCGCAACAAAGCGATGCGCAACGTTCCGTTGCAAAACTGCATCACCCGTGCACTTAGTAAAATGTTAATCAAACTCTTTATTAAAAGTTGTGCATTGTTTGGAAACAATCATGTCCTCAATTGCCATTGCGGCAATTATTATCGTATATACCCTAGATGATGTCGATGATACCAAAAAACGAAAAAGAAAACAAAGAATTTGGATGAAAGAACTAAAATATTGCACAACGAAGCGCAACACACACATACACTACACAACGCGTTGCGCAAAAGTCCTGTTGCGCAAAAGAATTCAAACATTCTTGAAAGTCATCAAACAATTGCACAATGCATCAAACACTACCATAGATTGGCAACTCGTTGCGCAACAGCCTGCGTTGCGTAATTTGTTTGATAATGTATGGGCCGCTTTAGAAGGTAGTAAAAAACGTTAAATCTAGGAGTAAACAATCTGATATACCGATCTGGTCATCGAAACAGCGTGGTCTGTATTTTAGTGCATGCGACAGAGATATACTCTGTTTTTTTTCTCAGGTAAGATTTCGACAGACGATGACAGAAAAAAAGCAGATGACGTCCCATACCAATCTATTTATTTTACTAAAAAAAGTTTCTAATAATGTTTAAGTTAACTATGGATGGGTTTAAATATAAATCCGTCATGCGTTGTCTCTTGTTGTTTTTAACCAGTTTTATTGGTTTATTTCAAAAATGACAGATCGTATTTCAATTTTATTGGTTTGACTGAACGATGAACGACAAACGGACGCCGATGTGTATGAACTCGCCTTTAGATTTTTGACGCTTGTCAAAGTCTTGCCAAATTAGAGGTTATAATTTTGTGTCAACTTTTGTCAAATACCCTGCGTTTTGGAAAATGATGCATTTTGATTCGTGTTATTACGTGTGTTTTGTGTCTTTTGAAGTCAAGTGGAGGAAAAATCGAGTGAAAATTAACTGTAGACCCAGAGCACAGTTTATGGTTAATACTCGCTGCCCAGGCAGAAAGTCTTATACACCAATAAAGTTACCATCAATAAAGTTCGTATACCATCTCGTCCTGGATAAGTGCATTTCGCATATGGTAGAAGGACCATACTAAACACATACTAAAAACTGGAGTAGCTGTAAAATATCGACATTACACGATAGGTAAATAATGGATTTTAGTACTGCAGAAAAATAATGTCAAAAGGTACTGGTTTGAAAAAATTACGATTAAAGTTAATTAATCAACCTTTAAGGTATAAAATTTGGTAAGTGTTATTAATAATAAAATAGTTTGTTTTATTTATGTTGTTTTATTTGTTCCTGCGGAATATTACAAATGTATTTGTACATATTATAAGTTATATTGATAAATATAATCATAAATACGGGAAGTTTCATGAAGCTTGAAAGTAAGAAATATTTTTTTTATATTTTTTTGGTATGTGGTGTTCTTGTTTGTTTTGTATTAACACATACCTGTCGTTTTTTGTTAAATAAAATAACTCGATTAGATTTTTTCCGTTTTATACAGTTTTTTTCATAATATTTTAAAGTTTGTCAGTCAACGTGTCTAGAAAAAAACTATTTTTATGATTAGGCTATTGAGGATCAGAAAATGACCACAATAAAATTGAAAAGGTCGCAGTGGAACAAGTTGATAGCCGCTTCGAAGAATCTAAGTTTGCTGGACTCGCTCTAAATATCTCTAAACACCCTGTATATCTTCAGAAACGAGTTATCATGCTTCATCGGGAGGAGGAGGTGGGGGAATATCAGTAGGAGGTGCATCCAGAGGCAAAGGCGGAGGATTGAACACATGCACGCTTCCAGGCGGTTGATACATTTCTTGATAGATGTATCCAGGAAAGTATCCCGGATTATACATAAACGTCGGAGGAGGTACGTTCATATTTAACATACTGGGCGGAGGCATTTGGAAGGGATTAAAGGACATGGGAGGCGGAGGCACAGACGGATACGACATGGCGCTTGGATTTTGGGAATGAGTTTGTGGATGGTAGTTCATATGTCTCGGAGGCGGAGGATGGCGCATTTGAGAGTTATGCGCATACCTAGGCGCATTATACGACCCTCGGTGGCTTTTGCCATGATACGGAACTTTGTTAGGAGGCATGGAATAATTATCGTACCCATTAGGTCTCGGCTGCTTGGGATAAGTTTGTTTATGAACACTAACGTGAAGTTCTTTGTTTAAAATTTTAGCGTGATCGTTTGATGTTAAATTTTGTTCGTTAGAACTATTCGGCTCTGATATATTACTTGTACTTACATTAACTACGCTAACAGACTGAATAGTAGTATCAGTTTTCGGACTTAATGACGTCGAAAATACAGATGCAGAATTTTGAACTTTTGAGGCATTTTCACATAATGTATCTAACGAACTATTTAAGGAACTTGGTTCAGTATAATTGTTATTTTTTTCGATTTCTTCTTGAATTGGTGATACAATAGGTGAGAGTTTCTTAGGGATTTTCTCATTTACATCGTCATAACTATCGCTACTTATAAGGGTAGTGGTATCTAACTCATTATCATTACTATGTGGGACATTTGGGCTTACCTTATTGTACGACGGCCGTCCGTTCTGTTTCGAATCTTTGTGACTAATTTTCGCCATCTTGGAAGGTGCAGGTTGGGCAGGCGAAAGACGCTCCCGGTCACGCTTTCGACTCGAATTCGTGCTGCTAGTAACCGATATGTCCAGTGAGGATCCAAGGCCACCGCCACTGGTATTGCAGTTAGTAATCACTTCTTTTGGTATTTTAATTTTCAAACCTACAATTATTTAGGATATTAAAAAAACAATTGAGTTAAAACATTTGTTTACCTCCAGAACTTGGCTGTGGTAAAGATTGATTGATTTTATCTTTGGGAATCTTGATCTTCAGTCCCTCGTTTAAAGGTTGTATTTTATCCTTTTGAATCTTAATTTTTATAGGCTCACTAACTAAAGGTTGAGTTTCTGGCGCTTCTTTCTTTTCTTTATGCTTGTGCTTCTCCTTTTCTTTATCTTTATGTTTGCGCCTTCTTTCTTTGTCATCTTTACTCTTTTCCCTGTCTTTGTGTTTATGCTTCTCTTTCTTCTTTTTACTTTTATGATGATGGTGTTCCTTTTCTTTCTGTTCTACCGGTAAAACTGACAGATTATTTGGCTCGACCGACTCGGTCTTAATAGAGGTAGAAGCAACGCCGGGCAAATGAGAATTTGTCGCTGCCTCTTTGAGTAGATTGCTGATAATAGTAGGGTTCGTCTCAAGACCGTTTACTATCGTGTTTTGACAATTTATCGAATCCTTTACAGGACTAGCGGGTTCGATCTTTATTTCCGATTTTATGGGGAAATTACGGGAGCTGTGATCCTCTTTCTTTACTTGCGTGCTGTCAGTATTGTGGATATTACTAACCCCTATGGTATTATACTGCCTTAACGTTTCAAAGCCTTCAACTTGGTCTATCTTCTTCATTGTAGGTCGCAGCTCTGGTTCCGAACTACTGGAGTAATTCCTATTTCTAGAACTCTGTACACTTGGGGGAGAAGTGATTGGAGATAAGGCGGTCAGATTATTAAGAGACATATGGGTTAGAGGTTCAGCCTTTTCAGATTTCACTTGCGGTGGAGTCTTTTCGGGGGAGAATAAACTAGGGCGCTTGATCACCGCCGGGGTTGGGATTTCTTCCTTAATAGTAACAGTCTCAGTCTTAATTTTAACCTCATGTTCATGAGAGGGAAGCTTATTGTAGGATCCATTCGTGTTTCCATTATAATGTGGTTTGAGGTGCGCGCCAGCCTGGGAGCTGCTCGATTTCGGGACGGACTTATTATCTAAATTAAAAGGCGACTTAATTTTCTGCGAGGTAGAACTTGAAGATTTCAGATAAGCACTATTTTTATCGTAACTAGAACTCAAATGTTTTTTAATGTTATCGGTTTCCGATTTTATGTGAGTCTTTTGTTGCTCCTCGTACCGACGCATTAGTTCTTGCTTCGACGCGGACTTTGGATCGATCCTAGGCCTGTTAGGGTCTATTCGTTGTCGCACATCAGAATAACTATTTAAATTGTTTAGTTCGGTTTGAGCGTTAGGTTTAAGTAACAGATCACGTTTTAGAAGTTCTTTATCACTGCGCACCGTAACCGATTCTTTTACGTGTTCGCGGCTGGGATCGTGAAGAGTCGGTAGACCGAAGGATGGTTCCTTTGATGCTTCTCTCAATATGTCCCTTGGTTCGGTTCTAGTGGGAGGGATACCAGCACTGCTAGACGGCCTAGAATGGGGCTTCATTTTCTGATCCATGAGCGGTCGTTCTGATCTATGATGGTGATGAGGTAGCGTTATTCCACTCATGTGAGCTATTTTCTCTTTTTCTTTTCTCTCCCTGTATTCCCGTTCTTTTTGTTCTTGAGTTTTGTGACCACTTGACGACGGATCATGTGGTCTTGACCTGTGTTTATGCGGGTCATCACCTAAAAACCCTATGAATTTAGTCATAGGTTACACAAGTATAAAAACAAAAACACAACCTTTGTAATCTAGAGCCCGCTGAATACTGCCCTCCGGTTTTTTGTCTTGATCCTAAAATTAAAAACAAACTCAAATATTTTACAAAACTATTAACTTTGTAATAGGAAAATGATCTTACGTTAGGACTACTGAAACTCTCTTGTTTGGCTGTAATTTTCTCTTTTAACCTAGAAGGACAATTTTCAAAAATAACTAAAAATTCACTAGTCAACTGCTCCAATAGTTCAGCTGTCACAGTTGGATCCACATAGGTAAACCATTCCTTTTTTTCGTTTGATAAGGGTATCTCCCAATTGGACCATTTACACGCAAGTAATATACAAAAGCATGCTACTACAGTGGGTTTATATTGAATACACATCGTTGTAAGATGCAAACTAAAACACATAGAAATATATTATGAATTATTACTACTTAACATCCAGGTATACTATAGCCTATCCAACGTAGTGATGGGAAAAACCGATTAATTTCAATAATCGAGTACTCGAGTATCAAGCGATTGCAATAACCGAGTGATCACTCGAGCGAAATATCACTCGTATTTAAAAATACGGTTTTCAGCCGTCCGTGGCTTGTTGTAAGTACTCGTTAACGCCAAGCAGTAAGTTGCGTGCGCAGGGCACATATTCTTTCGGTAATGAACGGCAGGTAGTAAGCGGCGAGCGATTCGCTTGATTTAGTATTTAGTTTATTTCATGTTTATTTCGAAGCATTGTCGATGTAGGTCGTAAAATTTTGTCCCTCAGATACGCAACGGATAAATATACCGGGTACGTTTCAAAAGTGGCCCACCCCTATAATTTTTTTATTTTTTTCAGATAAAATAACGAGATTTGGTATGTTAGTATATGACAAATTAGGATTGATTGATGTATTCAATTGTTTTCGGCCACTTCCGGTTTCACCGAAAATGACTACGACGAGGGGTGTCTCACTCGAGTAAAAAATGTACACGTACTGCCAAAATATCCTTCCACTGCTAAGCGACTGCCAATGACTATGTAGAAGACTGCCTATGACTACCATGTAATTATTATAGGCGACTGCCATAAGACTGCCAATGACTGCCAGCGACTGCCAAGAAAATGTACAGGTAATTCCAATAGTGAGACACCCCTCGGACTACGACTTTTGATTTTTAAATCGCACCCTCGGTATTTTTTACTTTATTCGGTAGAAAATGACACTCTGAATAGAATGACATATCACTTTTGACATTTTCGGATATGGTTTATTTGAAATTGTAACATGCGGTTCATAACGACAATTTCACTCGAAGTTCCAAGTGTGTGGTATCAAATTATTCGTAAAAAAATTCTTTTTCGAAATATGCTAATGAGCCACCCTCGTTCCATTTGAAAAAATTTGAGATATGGTCAAAAATACGATTTGGGCATCTTTTAACCGGCCAGGGAAAGGACACTAAAAACATTAGACGATCAAATCTATTTTTCCAATTAATTGAAGGCTCCTTGATTAAAAATTTGTGTTTTTAACACAGCCATGGCACTATAGATTGAATTTTAAAATACAATTTGTTTTTGAGCGAATATGTCAAAAGTTGACATATGATACGTCATTCTATTAGAATGTCATTTTCTATCGAATAAAGTCAAAAAAATACCGAGGGTGTCAATTAAAAATCAAAAGTTGTAATCATTTCCGGTGAAACAGGAAGTGACAGAAAACAATTGAATACGTCAATCAATCCTAATTTATGTCATATACTAACATACCCAATCTTATTTTTTATCTAAAAAAATAAAAAAGTTATAGGGGCGAGTCACTTTTTCGACGCACCCGGTATATACGGCGTCGCGTCGTATAAATTTGCTACCTGCAATGTATGTAGAAAATTCGCTCGGCTTTTTATCGAGTATGTCACATTAAAATCGGGTTTCAATTTATTTCATTCTAGGATCGCTTGCGTTCGTCGCCTGGTACTCGTCACTTGCATCGCTCGTTCATAATCGAGCGATGTCGGTTATTTCAATAATCGAGTACTCGAGCGAATTTTCGCTCGAGTGATCCCATCACTAATCCAACGACTCAGTGAAGAAGATTTGGACAGACGATATCCAAAAAAATTCAGAAAATACGATTTGCTTGTTAATTAAAATAACAGACACAAATGTCACTATCAGGGATTCTTCCGTTGGACAGACTATATTAAATTATAAAAAAATATACATTGAATTGAATAAGAATTAGGTATAATCTGATATATAAAAATCGTGTTTTCAATAATAAAAAAAAACAAACAAATTACACAAGGTCGTATATTCTTTTGCTGGCCTGACTATAACTTTTTTTTAACTGTTATAGGCTTGGCGCATTTCAACCGATTTTTAAAATTACGAGCAGCGCTCAGTACGGCAGAAATCACAACTTCCCGACACTGTATTTTATTTCATAAAGCCCCGGTTACTGTTCATGATAATTGCATTGAAATAATACTGAAATTGTGACAATGTCCTAATTTTAAGTATTTTGATTTTTACTAGGGTAATTGTGAAGTATGTGTGACGTAACGCTGTTTCGGGCAACACTTTGTGTTGTGACAATTTCAAATGATAATAAAATTGCCGAAAAATGTCAACAAGAAAAGAAGGACGTAATTGCGTGGTTGTTGGGTGCAATATCACTCAATACAACTCTCCCAGAACAATATTTTACAACTTCCCAGCTTTACCACAGATTTGATCAAAAGCAAAAAATGGATTCAGGCAGTTTGACGGAACAAGTGTGTAAACAAAGAGCTTTATTATATAATCAAAACATTAAATAGGCATTACATAATCAAAACATTAAATAGGCATGTACTATGAGGATAAAATATAATTTAAACAATATTAAGGGTATACTTATTTTTAATCAGCAAGTGATTAAATTTTTTATGAACGTCCTTTAAAATTATATACCTTTAAAAAATTTGTTAGTCCAGATAGCCTCAGTTATGCCCCAACTAGAAAAATTGGTGCATAGTTGAAGTATCCGGCGTGACATTATTCATTTAAAAAGTTCAATTAGCTTAAATAATAAACTATAATTCACATTAGACGAAGGATAGAAAGAAGAAGATATCAAACGATTTCCTTTTTTTTTATTTTTTTTTAGTATTTTCCCAAATTGCATTTAATACTTTTTAAATAATATTATAACAATTTTTTTTTCGTGTACTCGCTATTTAATTAATGTATTTGTATAACTCGGTTGTTTACGGGATTCACCGATGGTGGCAGCACTAGCGGGGAATGCACTAAGCCTATACATATTAATTTTGACGTTTAGTGCATTTAACTCTTTAATTTTAACTTGAACACTGTTTGGTTTATCCAAGGGTATCATCAAACAACACTAAGGAAAATTTTGCTTACCTGTTACTAGCCATAAAATATGAAGTTTGAGCTAAATCTTTACTAGCTCTAACCAAATGACAACATCTTACAACATATGTATGCGGATGATCTATGGCCACATCGAAACCCAATGTCTGTAGTAGAACGTTTTCATTGAATACCAAATCTTGCGACTGGGCGATATATCTATAACACAAAAAATATTGTATAAAATATATAATTAACGCTTTACTTTTTACATACCTTTCAGAATTGATGTCAAACGCAGAATCCCTAGGGTTCTTGCATATGTTGGCTACTCTAATGACGTATTCTAATTTTCTAGGTTGTTCTTCTACTTTGGCGGCTAAGAATAGAGCTGCCGCTGCCATTTGGTACCATGGGAAGTCAGTGAAGGAGTGAAATACATAAAATCGATGCATGTATACAATTGCAGTGTTAATACATAACTGTGATCTATATAAAAGCTATTAAGGAAATACTTCTTTTCATGTAAAATTTACAAATATAAATACACATTTTATTAAAAGGCATGTCCAGCAGTAGTCTTTAAATCAATTTGTAGTATATGAGCAAGTCCACTTTTGAGCTGTTGCAATAGCAAATTTTTACATCTTATCAAGAAGCACAATATCTAACCGAGGATCTAAGGAAAACTACGAATATTAGACATATACAGGGCGACCCTGGCTTTATAATTTGTTATGTTTATTAAAATTCTCATTCCAAAAGTACCGTATGATCGAATAAAAACGGCGTCAGCGATGGCTATGAAATGACAATCGATGACATTTCCCATATAAATTTACATATAAAATGACAGCGATCTTCATTTCATAGCCATCGCTGACGCCGTTTTTTTTCGATCATACGGTACCACGATGTCATAATTTTTATTGAGTGGTTTTTAAACTATGATTACTTCTGCACTAAAAGCAAATTTAAAGCTCTCCCAAAATATGATATTCTTAATATTCTTTAATTGGAAATATTTTGCATCATTTTCATAACGAGGATACTAAAATACACTATATTACTGTATGACATATACAGGGTAAGTTAGAACTTATTTTATATCAATTAAAACGTCTTCAATTCTCAATTTTTGCTGTAGATAGGCATGTCACTATTAATGATAAACGGCTAGTAGTAAAAAAAGCTAGATAAATCCTGCTATATACGTCAATGAACGTCAGATGTGTGAGTATATCGATTGTTGCGAATACCATGGACGGCTCATCGAACAAACATCTCAGTTATGGAGGAACTGAAAATTGAGACACGTCTGATTACCTCGATTGTTGATTTAGTCAATCCTCCGATATTTTGGCCATATTGCTAGGAGTGGCACCTCAATTGAGAGACTGATGGTGGAGGGGAAGGTAGAAGGAAGACGATCACGTGGAAGGCCACCTAAGAGGTGGGTAGACCAAGTCAAAACCCTAGTGGGCCACAACCTTCCCGAAGCCTCACATATGTCGCAGTGTCGAACAATTTGGTCCGAGGAAGTGAGGGGAATCAACACATGATGTCACCATACTCTCAGTTTGCTCTCACGTAGGGTGAAGGACTGAAGAGAGAGAAGAACGTCAAGCACACATTCACCTTGTCGGGTCTGAGGACATGCACAAGTAGCAACAAAACGGCAATCGCTTTAAATATTTGGACTGGCCCTCTTAAGGAGTACTGGGATGAAAGAAACGGCTAAGAATAAAGCTGCAGCTTTAACGACCTAAAGAAATTTTGCGTGTATGTATATACTCCAATAACGATGACATTTTTGACGATGTCCAGAAGCATGTCTTCGCACTCCAAAAATCCTAAAGAATAACCAGACATTGCCACCTTCAAAAAATGAAGGTAACTTAACAGAGAATCGAAACACTAATACGAGACGATTCAGGAGGTAATATGCGATTGACTGGCTCTATTGTCGATCAGAGAGTGCATTCGGTATACAGTTCGGCCTATTGTAGCCTTACCACTACCTTCTTTACAAAATTAGGTTGTCAGGTGGTTTAAACGAAGTGCGTCACCTGGGGGAGGACCTACAAGGGGTCCAATAGTACTTTGCTTGGTCCAATAATTGTACTCTCCCCGTCAACAGAACAGATAGGATTCTACCTATTTAAAATATATTTCGATGATTATCCATATAACTGAGCAATTTTTTAAGTAAGAAATTAAAGTTAGTTAATTGCTTTGGCGGATTTTGAAAGAAGGTGTTAACAGCTACCTCTGATTTCAACAGCGCATACATCATTGTAATCATATATCAGTTTTGTCTCATTACCGCTAGACATAGGCTCAAAGATGCAACGTTAAAATTGCCAAAATTACAAAAACAAAATTGAACTCAATTAGAACCTAAATAACCCCAATTTGTTTTGCGATTTTAATTATTTTAACGTTGCCTTGCTGCTAGCATAATACTCGTAGTAAGTTAGTAGCATTTTTTCCAAAATCAGTAAACTGCAGCACTTTATTATAAAACTTTTTGATCAAACTGCTACGGAAAATTCGAAATTAGGAAATAGTTTAATTTCATGACATCATATCTTTTGCAAAAGGATTCCATAATACTGTAACCTACGATCATAGAAAGACAGACGAGTAATCGGCAGCACTTGATCGTAAAACCTTTTGATCACACTATTACAAAAATCCATAAATTGAAGAATATTTTACCTTCTTGTCGTTACTGCCTTTGGGACAGTGTTTCATAATTCTGGGACAGACAATTGTAGAAGGATAGACGAGAAAAATGCAGAATTTGATCATATTGTTACAAAATTCAATAAATTTGGAGAATATTTTTAGTGCACACATGTGTAGTCACACATCACTGCCTTTGCAACAGCATTCTAGAATTCTGTGACCTAAAGTCAAAGGACAGAAGGGTAATCGGTAGCACTTGATTATAAAGCTTTTTGATCGCATTGTTACAAAAATCCATACATAGAAAAATATTTTACAGTCTTGCCGGTACCGCCTTTGCGACAGTGTTTTAGAGTCCTCGGCCAGACAATTGCAGAACTTGATCATAAAACATTTTGATCGCATTCTAATATACATATTGTTATGAAAAATCCATAAATTGAGGTATATTTCATCCTTTAGGTATCACCCTCTTTGCGACAGCGTTCCACAATTTTGTGACTTACAATCAGAAGGATAGACGAGTAAGAAGCAGAACTTGATCATACAACTTTTTGATCACACTGTACTATAGATATTGTTATGAAAATTCCGTAAACTGAGGAATAGTTCATCCTTTTGGTTTCAACGTATTTGCGAAAGCGTTTCAGAATTCTGTGACTAACGTTCATAGAGAGATAGACGAGCAAGAAGCTACATTTTTACCATAAAACTTTTTGATCACATTGTACTATATATATTGTTACAAAAAATCCATAAATTGAGGAATATTTCATCATTTTGGCGTCACCGTTTTTGCGAAAGCGTTGCACAATTTTGTGACTTAAATCAGAAGGATAGACGAACAAAAGGCAAAACTTGATCATAAAGCTTTGTGATCGCATACATATTGTTGCAAAAAATCCATAAATCAGGGAATATTTCATCCTTTTGCCATCACCATCTTTGCGAAAGCGTTCCAGAAACCTGTGATTTGAGATCTTATAAGGATAGACGAGCAAGATACAGAACTTGATCATAAAACTTTTTGATCGCATACATATTGTTGAGAAAAATCCATAAATCGGGGAATCGCATACATATTGTTGCAAAAAATCCATAAATCAGGGAATATTTCATCCTTTTGCCATCACCACCTTTGCGAAAGCGTTTCAGAAACCTGTGATTTACGATCTTATAAGGATAGACGAGCAAGATACAGAACTTGATCATAAAACTTTTTGATCGCATACATATTGTTGCGAAAAATCCATAAATCGGGGAATATTCTATCCTTTTGGTATCACCGCCTTTACAAAAGTGTTCCAGAATTCTGTGACTTACGATCATAGAAGAATAGACGAGCAAGAAGCAGAACTTGACCATAAAACTTTTTGATCGCATACATATATTATTTCGAAAAATCCATAAAATAGAGAATATTTCATCCTTTTGGCATCACCGTCTTTACGAAAGCGTTTTAGAAGTCTGTGACTTATGATCATCGAAGGATAGACGAGCAAGAGACAGTACGTGATATCTCTTTGGCATTATTGTCTTTACGAAAGCGTTCCAGAAGTCTGTGACTTGCGATCATGGAAGGATAGTTCAGTAAGGGGCAAAATTTAAACATAAAACCATTTGATCACATCCATAAATCAAGAGAATATTTTATGCCCGTGGCATTACTGCCGTTGCGACAGCGCGCAGCGTTCCAAAGTTCGTTGACTTTAACGAACATAAAGAGATGGACGAGTAAGAAGCAGAAGTTGATCATAAAACTTTTTGATCATATTGTACTACACATATTGCTACGAAAAAATCATAAGTGAGAGAATATTTTACCCCCATGGCATCACTGCCTTTGTGACAACGTTTCAGAAGCTGTGATCTACGATCACAGAATAATAGACGACTTAAAGGCTCTAGTTTCTACTGTTTAATCTAAACAACTTTTTTACGTATTTTGAAAATGCTACCATTTTACTATTGAGCGAATGTTGTATTTTCCAGCTCCCTCGTATACGAAATGAAACGCTTTAATATTGACTATTTTATTTGGAGCTTGACAGGAAGCAGAGAAACTTGAAATAATTTTGTTTTCATATGGGTCCAAAATTCTTAGATACATCAGAAGTGGAACACACCAAAAATGCTTATCAGGGTTTGTAAAAAAGAAGCAATGACTTTTGTGATAATAATGGGACAATTTCAAAATAGGTCACGTTAAGAACACCCTAGCCAGACCATTCAAATTTAGATTCTGGAAACTATTTAAAAACAGGCATCAGGCAGGGATAGCGCGCATATTTTTACCACTTTATTGTAATGTGTGATATAATTCTCTGGAACGTTGTAATTGTGTAAAAAAGGAAATAAAGAAAGAAAAACGGAAAACAACAGTTTTTTTATTCACATAAAATAATGTTTTCTAAACAAAATTTGAACCATTATTCAACAGGGTATTTAAGTCAAAAAAAATCACTGTGAAGGGTACTTAATTCTGTTTAATTTAATTTGTTCTAATATATATAATATTTTCAGTACTTACTTGTAAATACCGCCTATTTGTAATTTAATTTTTTCCAAAATCCTATTAGTACGATTCTCGCCTTCATGTCGGATATAAGAATAGTGCATTTATTTATACGACCATACGATCAAAAAATAAACGGCGTCAGAGGTGGCTTGAAAATGAAAGTCGTTGTCATTTTATATATAAAATTATATAGGGAATGCCATAGAACGTCATTTCCAAGCTAACTAGACGCCGTTTTCTTTTTCTATCATAGAACTTCTGTAGAAGTTAAACAAAATACACTATTCAAAAATTTGTTACATTTATTTGTTAGTCCAAATGTATGTTTACTAAAGGTTATTCACGTTTATTAGTAAATCTATACCGGGTGCGTCTCAAAAGTGGCTCACCCCCTATAACTTTTTTATTTTTTCAGATAAAAAACGAGACTTGGTATGTTAGTATATGACATAAATATTAGGATTGATTGACGTATTCAACCGTGTTTGATTACTTCATGTTTCACCGGAAATGACTACAACTTTTGATTTTTAAATGACACTCTCGGAATTTTTTTACTTAAAAAATGACACTTTGAATAGAATAACATATCATGTGTCAAGTCTTGACATTTTTGCATATAGTTTATTTGAAATTGTAATATGCAGCTCATAACGACAATTTGACTCGAAATACCAAGTGTGTGGTACCAAATCCGATTTTTTTTTCAAAAATGCTAATGAGCCACCCTTGTTCCATTTCAAAAAATTGAGATATGACTAAAAATACGATTTGGGCATCTTTTAACCAGCTAGAACAAGACACTAAAAACTTTAGACGATCAAATCTATTTTTCCGAGGCTCCTTGATTAAGAATTAGCGTTTTTAACATAGCCATGGCACTCTAGATTGAATTTTAAAATACTATTTTTTATTAAGCGAGAATGTCAAAAGTTGACATATGATTTGTCATTCTATTCAGAATATCATTTTCTATCGAATGAAGTAAAAATATACCGAGAGTGTCATTTAAAAATCAAAAGTTGTAGTCATTTCCGGCGAAACAGGAAGTGACCAAAAACAATTGAATACGTCAACCAATCCTAATTTATGTCATATACTAACATACCAAATATCGTTTTTTTATCTGAAAAAATAAAAAAGCTATAGGGGGTGAGCCACTTTTGAGACGCACCCGGTAGATTCATTTTTGTATCAAATTATTAGCTTATATTTTCAATTGTTTAAAGGTTACGATAAACTTTTTCCTCAAAATTCGTATACAGCGTACATCAAAAGTTAGTTGTTAATCTTTTCTTTCTACTGTTGAAGTTGTCAGTTTTCAAAGTAGACGACCAATAGGATTTGAGAAAACTGAGTTTACTTAAATTTTAAACTTAGTTTTAATAAAGATCAGTTAATATCTGTCAATCTTCAAAATGAATCAAAGTGCAACTTTATAATATAATATCCAGATAAAGAAGATAGAAGACCATTTGACAACATTTATTTTTATTAACCCACAGAATATTACGATAGAGAACACGGCATAACAGATAAGTTAAACTATTCACCAATACCAGGCCCATATATATAAAATATAAACATAAAGGTTTAAAAAATCTCGATATAACAAAATTTTATCCAAAGATAAAACTATACGATTGAAAAAAAGTCGCCAGATTTGAGTTGGAAATGAAGATCGCTGTCATTTTATGTAAAACTATACAGGGTCCGGCAATAGTGCGTCGGGCATCTGTAGCTCCTAGAATAAAAAAAAACTTGGGAATGTTGCTTATACTTTCCACAAAAAATTAGTAAGTTTTTTTATTCTAGGAGCTACAGATGCCCGACACACTATTGCCGGACCCTGTATATGGTGAATGTCATCAATCATCATTGTCATGCCAACTTGATGCTGTTATTTTTATATCATACAGTAGGTATATGTACCTATAACAAGTACCCAAATAAGATAATGTTAATTATGTATTTTGAAAGTTATAGCTTCTTTCAGTGGGCCACGGCCCAGCTACAATAACACGGATTCCTGATCTGTTATTGAAGTTAAGCGACGCTAGAAGATGTAGGAATTTGGACGGGAATCCGTTGTGCTTTTGTTCTAACTGAGTTAAATTTAATCTATCGAGATACATTGCTCATTCTCGCTGGTCACATGCCGGATTTTTGGCTAAGAGCCTATTTTGACACTGGTTCAATCAGAAAGCCATAATATGGCTGAGAACTGCGGTTCAGAATCCACGCAAGTAAAATAGAACCCGTCCAGTTAGTTCAGCCTTGAGAGCACAAGGGAGACTTAACAATATTCTACATGTAAATTACATTTCAATTTGTTTAAACCTAAACATTCCAAGAATTTTGTGATATTATTTACCAATGAATTTTATCCTTTCTTTGCAAATAATTATTTTGTGTTATTATTTACCAATCATGATTCCATCAGCGTTTGTGACAAATATATTAATACAGAATTGCATCATTTATTTATTTAAAAAAAAAATATATAATTTACTACTTGTAGGTAGTTACTTTATAGCAACTATAAGTAATCTTTAGTTGTATATTATTGATTTTTATACAGGGTGTCCCACAATTTGTGCGACAAACTGAAAGGGGTTGTAGAGGGCATCAAAACAAGTCATTGGAGGTGGAGCGAAACGTAAATTTCAAGTTGCATTATTTATTCAAAATATTTACACAAACTGCTCAAAGTGCCGTCCAGTCTGTTGAAGACACAAATGCGCACGCCTGTTCGCTGTTGATAATAGGGCGTGCAGTCCGTGTTGGTACTTCAGTGCACGTCCAGTCAAGTTCCCTTCCGCTCATTTTAATAATACCGGACATGGGTTCCTATACTCAAATGACTTGTTTTGATGCCTTCTACAACCCCTTTCAGTTTGTCGCACTAATTGTGGGACACCCTGTATTATAATACTTTTTCAAAGATTTTTTATAAGCTATTAATTAGATCTGTTTTAATTCCATTAATATTATCTTTTAGTGTAAAGTGTTAAACTATCCCATCCAACAAAACATAATATACCAATTTAAATCCTAAGCAATATTTGTTTAATGATGTAAACATCTCCTAAATTACCTCATGGAAGTAAAACAAAAATTAAAATTCCTGTATTATTGTACTCATCAGTTCAAAATATTAGCTTAAAACTATTCTCAAATTATACTTATAATTGCAGCGATAATAGGTATTTATATTTAAAATTATTTATAATTATAATAATTATATTTTCATTATAGATTATTACTGACTTTGAATAACAAAGAGTTAACTGAAATATTATAATGACTGCTGTCGTAGTGAAATTATCGGAATCAAAAATACAATTTAAAAGGAGAGACCTAAGAATGACCTGTCATTATAAAAACGCTATTTCTAGTTTACATGACCTTTTGTAATGATGATCTATTTTTTCTGTTTTACTGCCTTCCTTTATTTTTATATTTAATAACTTAGGTAGAAAACTACCAATTGGCTAATATTTATAATAAAACATAATATAGCAATAGGTATAATTTAAAAAATTGACAATAAAAAAATCCAATTTACTATAAATATAAAAATTATTGTCGAATAATTATTTTATAAAATCTCTAGTTACTATTCATTTATGGTCTATGTAGATGTAAGTTCTCACCAGATCTGATTGAGATAAGGTGCAAATAAGAACTAGCTTAATACTGGAATTAAAAATTGGGAAAATAAATAAAAGAAAAATAAAAAAAAAGAATTGAATAAAATATAAACATCAGAGTAAAGTTATTTTATCTATTTATTTTTCCTATATCAAATACATAAACGATTTGACGAAATAATAATATAAATTAACAATTAATAAAGAATAACAATGATTTTTTTTAGTAGTAGGGAATTTACAAATATCAAAATAGATGTAGAAGTACCTAAAACAAATATTTTTATTTTGTTAACTTTAGCTGGCAAAATGTAACATAACCTAATAAATGAAATGAAACCTTTGAAATCATTATGGGGTCAAGGTTATTAATGAAAAAATCAATAAACAAGAAAATTTCTTTAAAGAGAGCATGTGCAGACGTCACTTAATTGCGCAACTATAAAATTAATCCTAGAAAAAAACAATTCAAAATCCCCAATTTATCGGTAAATTACCTCGATGCAGGCTCGATGGACTATTCAGCTCTCTCTACTACTTGAACATGCCTTTCTGTACAAAAAAGAACCCGTGCGTGATTCAAGGTTCAAGATGCAATTTGAAAGGATACACTTTTAGTCTTTGCCCCATGTCCTGTATGAAATTGGCTGCTTGTTGTCTGTATTGTAGTTCCTTATATGCATCGAATCCGCATAATCTTGACGGTGTAGTTTCCAGCTGGTCTTTGGTAAAATACCATTTGTCGCTATTGCCTGTGTTAGCCATTTACACTTAACGCGACACGAGAAATAGGCAACAGATATGGCGTTTTGCCCTAGTTTATAATTTTGATACATTGAAACGCAAAAATAGAGTAATCAACATAACATGTTAATGTCCGTAAAGTATATTTTTAGGAAACTTGAAAAGTAAAGAGTATTTTTGTATTTAAGGAATTTCTCGAATACTGCTTTTACGTCACTTCAATTTTGAGCTATTCACGATGATCAAGTCCGGATGCAAATTTGTCGATTTATTAGTGTATTACTGAAGATAAAATTGATATAGCAAGTGTGTAACAAACTTAGAGTTTTTAATGAACTTGGGCGATACTTTTAATACTTGAAGAAGGTAAATTATTGATATAATTTGAAAATACATACACAGTATTCCTAGAAAGATGTTATTCACAATTCGATGGCCGACCAACCACGATAACCAAATTAAACACTTTTTTTAGTATAAACATAATATACTAGAAAATGGTGATTTGTAGCACTTTTATAATTTTAGATGAATTGTTTTTAAAACGCGTACATATTTAAAACACTTTAATTTAGAAAAAAAAACTCTTAAACAACAACTAAACTGATTCAGGAAATGTCACTGTTGTCAAATCTGTCATTCATATTGACATGTCGCCGGAAGTTCCTGTTTGCAATGCCATTGGAGAAAAATGCGATATTTTAATCATGTGACAGATCATGGTTATGTTTTATTGGTTAAAATCAGGTTATTCTGTGGTTTAAATTTATTTTTGAAATTCTGTGGGTATTTTTCTTTGTTTATATTTTCTTTTCTGTGGTCTAGCAATATTTAGATTTTTTGATCATATTTTGGTTTCTGGTTTGATATTCCAGTTTGTTTGGATTTCCAAGTATTTTTCGTGTTTTAAATGTGTTAAAAACCAAGTCTCTGTGCAGGTACAATGTATATTAAGGCTGGTTCCTATATTTATAATCAAATTTTAGCAGTTCACGCAGCTTTAAAATAAATTTAGAAATGGCAAGCACAGATTCCATGGCGGAATTAAGAGCACAGTTGGAATTAGAGATCAAAAACAAGAAACAATGCGACTACGAATCTTATCAATGTACGCAGTTAACTATTGATGGATATAAATATTGTTTAAGACATATATTAAATGACAAGAATGCCCCATTCAAACAATGTAATTACATTTATCAAAACAATGGTAAAAGATGTCATTTACCAGCACCAAAAGGAGAGAAAAAAGAATATGGGTGAGAATATTTTTTATTTTAAATATGTATTTATAAAAATTATTCTTTTTCCAGATATTGTAACGAGCATGCTTTAAAATCAACAATAGTGAGGAATAAACAGAATGCCAAAAACCCACCGCCTTTATCGACAGAATCTTTATTAACAAAATTATCTCATTATGTACGAAAGCCTCGAAATAGAACTGCTTCATCTTCTAGCTATATATCAGATGAGGAACGTAACTATTTAGAAGATAATGCAAATTTGAAAGCTACTAAAAGTGTTGATCCTTTTGGTATGTGCAATGTTCTATTCTCATAAAGTATATGGTAAGTTTAATTTTAAATTTATTTTTAGTCGATATTGATGCAAATTCAGTTTATACAACACAATGTAATGAAGTCTTAGATATGTGCAGTGAATCTGAGAGCGATGTTGAACCATCGACTTTAGCATCTGTATGGCCAGATGTAAATGCAGATAGTTCTGATAATGAAAGTATCGATTCTGAAGAGGAAGATGTTTTGAAGTAGCTAAAATTAAACTTGATTATTATAACTTATATGAAAATGGGTGTATTATTTTAGACATGCAAACGTTTACACTGCAGAAGAAATTTCATTACTTACTCGTGATAAATTAGTGAGGTTGCAGTCTCTTTATATTGAACAGTATAGATATTTGCAGCATGTGTTGCGTGAAAAAAGGAGGAAATATTTACATTCCTTAAGACGAGAAAAGGAAACGTGTTGTAAATTATAAATCAGCTATCTTTAATTGACTGTTATAATTTTATTGGCTGTTCTAGGTAATATTTATAACCAAGTAAAAGACAATCCAAAGGAACAAAGGCTGTATAGAAAATTAAAACAATACATTAAATATCATCATGCCTATGGACAAGAAGCTATTCTCAGTAAAAGACTACATGACATAAGAGCGAAGGTTAGTAATCAGAATTTTTATTATCATATAAAATGTGCTACAATTTTTTAAATTGCTTTATGAAGTACATTTAAGATCTTATAAATTGAACTATATAATTTATTTAAGATATCTGATGGTTTACCAGTAAGGTCAGGCGGACTTACGAAATGTACATTTTCTGAAGGCGGAGTAAAATGCGGAGAAAAAGTTCTTCCCATGGCCAGACATTGTCGGCGACATATTTTAGAGGTAAAAAAAATATTCTTATGCCTCCCTAACAACAAAAAAAGACACTAAATTTCTTTTTGTAGGATCAAAGTCAAGTGCTATTTAAAGCCTGTGGAAAAGCAAATGGGGATATTGAATGTAACACACCAGTAGAAGCGATATTTGATGACAGTACCTGCAAATTACATGTAGAAATACCCCCAATTAGGTCATACCATCAGCCTAGAGTAAGTTTGATGTTTTTATTAATAAAATTAATGGGGGGGGGGGGTTATTTAAAATAATATTTTTGAATATATTGCAACTACGAAAAATTTAAAAACTATGTTAAGATGTATAAATCGTTCTAAAGTAGCGTATGATCGAAAAAAACGGCGTCAAACATGGCTTGGGAATGACAATCAAAGATAATTTTGGCGATGTCAATCTCTAGACGTTATTTACATAAAATATATCAAAAATTACCACTATTTATTTAGATTAAAGAAGTATAGAACGTTTCTAGAGACATATCTAATTTCAATAAATTATTTTTTCTTCAATTTTAAACTACACCGTTTAAAAATTATTTTTACTTAATATAAAAATAAATTACAACCTTCTTAAGGCCAACTGGCAGTAAGCGCTATTATCAGTAATGAAGTCTAGGGCTTGACCTCAGCAAAATTATCATCGATTGTCATTCCCAGCTGACTTTGACGCCGTTTTTTCGATCATATGGTATTGAAATTGGCTATTTTTTCTTAAAAAGTAATCATACTAAAAAAGCTATACATATTGTTTGGTATATACAGGCTGACTCCAAATTAAGTATAATATTAGTCTGCTATTTCAACTAAAAACGCGCTCTATTTAATGAGTCAAGATAGTTGTTATTTAACGATATTTAGTAGTTATTTTTTTATTTTTTCCATCAAGACTTCACAAGGAACAAAACGTAAAAGGGTGAGTTTGTCGTGTTTTGTTCAGTGCATGAAATTGAGTATTAGTACCATATTATTTTTAAAACAGCCTTTTATACCTTAAGTTATAAAATTGGAATCTAAAGCAACATTTTAAGTAAATTTCTGCTTTAAAGTATAGTTTAGCAATGCAAATTTACAAACTAAATTTTAATTATTTATCTTGGAATCTTTACAAAAAATATTTCCATTGGGAGGTATTTTTTTATCGAGTTGTCGCAAAAAAACAACTTTTGTGGCAACAATTCAGCATGCCCATGAATAAAAAAAAATTGTTTTGACATGTCATGTGATAATTATCATAGAAACAATTTAAAAATATAATGGGGCAAATGACATATCATATTATCAAAGAGGAAAGTTGTTCAGAATTTTATTTTTATTTATCTAGGTATAGTCTCTCCACCGAGCGAGTGAATATTTTGACAGGCAACATCTAAAATGACAGAAAATAAATTTACCTGTGAATTAAAGTGGCTACTGCCATCATGTATCTTTTATATGTCATAATTTATATACATCTATATGCATAGATTTTTTTTTGAAAGTATTAATTAATTTATAATAAAATTGAGTAATAATTTAAATATTTGAATTTAAATTTAGTTTGTGCATTAATGGCACCCTCTTGTTATTTTTATATAATTCTTGTGGTGTTGTAAGATGTACATCAATAAATAAATAATTAGTAACTTTGTTACAAACTTTTTGGTACACACTGTGTAAGAACTTGGGTATGCACAATTGTTTCTACAAATAAACTTGTATCAATAACTCAAAATTATTTTTTTCCCGTTTGTTGCAAATTCTTTGTTGGATATTGTTCAAATTTTTGGTTATTAAAATTGAATATTAATTTTTATATATTTAATTTTATAGAAGGAATCAGAGTCAGACATTGATGATACATTAGAGTTACCGCCTCATTATGCAATGCCTACTGGAGAGACAGTAAAAACAGAAATGCTTGATTATTCATTACCTCAGGATTTGCCCAAAATGGAAACATTACCTTCCTTACTGTTTGAAGATTCTACTGAAAACTTACCATCTTCACTTCAGGTAAGACTCACAATTTAAATATATTTTATTTTAGGTTTTTGTGATCCAGAAATTCCTACAGGGACATTATAATATATACAGGGACTTGAAATGATTTTGAAATGAGTTTTTTTTATTTAAAATTAGATTTTTATTTGTTAATATTACATAAAACAAAGAAAATCTGACAGGAACAATTCCAAAATATTTATTTACTCCCCTGCAACTATTTATAGAATATTCTAAATATCGGTTTTATTGGACATAATACTAAGGGCTGGCAAAGATTAGTCTTGGGTCGAGATTTCCGTATGTAAGAAGAGTACAATGCGTTTATAATGTACTGAATAAAGAGACAACAGTACCACGGCATATAAATCACACGGCAGGCCGACTCGCTTTGGCGGGAACGCTACGCGCATATCCTCGCGCACGCCGCCATTTGCGTTTCCATCAACAGAAAGTAACCAGTGTCGTAGTTTTTTCAGCGACAACACACGGTTACGGCAGATTCGGGTCAGTAGCGTGCGACTTATTTTATTTTGATTTTTTCTTGAATGATATATTTTGTTTTTGTTGTTTTATTTTTGTTTATTATGTGATATATTTGGTTTTTCTAGTTTTATTTTCGTTTCTTATGTATTATAATTGCTAAAAGGTGCCCGGTGGCGTAGAGGTACAGGCTCTCGTCTACCAATCTCAAGGTAGTGGGTTCGAATCCCACACCCGGCATTTCATCAGCCGACAATTTTTATTAAAATAAAAATAGTTTGGGTACCTAGGTCGACTCAGCCTTAAATGAGTACTTGGGATTCACAATCCTGAGGTAACGCGAAATTTCGAGAAACAATAGGCGGTTGAAGCGTAGTGCTAGCCACATTACCTTCCTTTGTATACCGAACGGCTCTAGTATGGGAAGCTGTACCTTGCTACTCCCAAGGCGTCAAACGCTATATACGGGAGCTAGTATTATTATAATGTAATATAATTTGTTTTAGTAGTTTTATTTTTGTTGTTCAAGAAAAGTTTCTTTCTGTTTCCTAGAGATCCTATTAGGTTTGTATATATGTGATTAATTATTTTAACATATTTTAGTTGTGAAAAAAAAACAGTAGTATACATATTAGGACATTCAGCTAAATAGGAAGATCTAATTAAAAATTTTAACAAACTTTAATATTAGTAAGATTTAATGTTAAATATTTAGTAAAATTTAATGTTGTATCTAGACATTAAAAACTAAATTTAAAAATCATTATACTATTAATTTAATTATAATTATAAAAGTAAATAAAATGAGTATATCTAAAATAAGTTAACAATATATTTTGAAGATATAAATAAGGCCCACAAAAGGTACAAGTTGCGTTCTGTTCATTTTGAATTTAAAATGTTTACCAATTCACTTTGTAACTGTATAAAATACAATGTACCTACTTTGTTTCCTGCCATGAAAAAAATAGAAGTTTCTCAAAAAAATTGTGGATTTATTAATTTGTGAAATTTGAATATTAATAAAATTTGCCCATTGATGGGCATAATTTGTACGTAGCCTCTTTATATTGTTCAATAAATATTTTATTGGTATTTCTTTAATTCTTGTTTGTAACTCCTGGCATGTTTTTGTTAGTTGCATGTTTTTTAATTTTAATTGTCTATTCTCTACAGTGAAAATTTAATTGATTTTTTCATTTTTACTTGTCGAGAAGTATGCGCGGTTAAGGATTCATTTGTTTGGACAAAAGTATTGTGTAAATAAAATTCAGTTTCAGTCAATTACAGTATTTTTTTAATACGACCCTGTCGTATTTTCTGAGAAATTTTTTGATACGTTTTAATCCGGCCCTGACTAGGAAACGATAATGGCTCTGTCAAGGTCAAATTTTATAGAAATTTTAAACAAAGGAATCTGAGCAGAGTTGGCGTGCCGATTGTTTTATGTGCCGTGACAGTACTAAGAAATAAACCGAGTAACTGTGCACATTGCTAAGAGACGTGGAAGGGGATATAGTAGATTTGTCGACCGGGCGACGGGCGAACCAATCAGTACCTCTGTCAGTACTTAAAGTTCTAGGGAAAGGTGTACATCAAGAACAGTTAACCTAATAGGACTGCTCATTCAGCCGAAAGTGTCTGCCAGGTGCATGCGAAAACTCCCCGCTTTGTGACGTCATTGCAGTCCTTGTTATGATAGTGTGTGTATTATTGGTTGCCGTATGCAAAACATTCATTATTTAGTTTATTTATTTAAACACCTTATATGTATGCAGTATAGAAAATTAACTGTATAAATCGTATTAAATACTGGGATAATGCATTTTTAAGAACAGCAGTTCCCAGCATCACCTCTTGCAGGCATTCTTTTAGAGTACTTCCATAATTTGCTTTAAAATAATTAATAAAAAATACCGTAGGCACTTAATAAGCACTTAGTCACAATCCACAACACAAAATGAACGTATTTATACTCTCTATAGCTCTAAAAACACCTTTTTCACTTAAAATCAATATAATAATTAACTCAACATTTCTCAGCTGTTGTTTTTATAAGTTTACCTTAGGCAACCAATAATACAGACTATCATGTCAAGGACTACAATGACGTCACAACTGTCAGCTAAAGCGCGGGAAGAGGCGAATAGACGTCTTATAGGATGAGCAATCCTATTAGTTTACCGTTCTTGGGTGTACATCATTCATTCGGCTTCACGATTTAATTACGTCTCGCGATACTTTATTTCTTTATGTATTAACGAGTCCTTGTAATTTTCCCTACAGCTTGAAAGTTTTTAAGTGCAAGTTAGAAGCAGTTGCATTTTTGGTAAAAATAAGTGGAATTGAGTCGGTGTTCGACAGTGGTCGCGCTATTAGAACTCTGAATTTGAAAATCGATATCTCGAAATCTATTAAAAATAATTGATTGTAGTTTTTTCAAAAACTTTCTTAACATTTCTGCTATATTTTCTTCGCAGACAGTATGTGAAAATCTTTATAAATAAAAAAGTTACACAATTGCTGAAAATTGCTATGCACTAAAAGTAAATGGATGGGTTGTTTAAAATTTTTGAATGGAAAAAACAACCTTACCGAATTTTTCTTATTTAAACATATTGTAAAAGATCCGATCTTCAAAATAAAAAAAAGTTTCGATGCCTAAAGTGGTTCTTAAGTTATGGCGTGTTATGCGTTAAAAAGTAGACTTTTTAAATTATCGCGATTACTGACGTTTTATCGTTATAAAAAATGGACACCCTAACGATATCCTTATAATTCCATTTCAGATGCTCAGAAATATATCTAATGATTTTATATAGTTATCTTTTCGAAAAAAAAGTCGTTTAAAAATAAGCGGTTTGCGATCGTAATTTTACTTTACTTGATAGGGAGAGGCGTACCGGCAACGCCGCAACAGCACACCGTCGCATTTCTCTCATTCCGACTTAATAAGATCCCTATGCGATTTACTTCCACACATGTAAATACCGACCCAAAAGTAACAGTTGCCAGCACGGTATACCCTTGGCAAAGAAAAATGTGTCAACAAATTAAACATAGATTTTTTTCAGTTTACTACTTCAACGTTTAATGACAGTTTTAATGAACAAACGTCAAGTGATTTATTGGAAAATTCCGCATCAGTTGACCTGAAAATTAATGTTACCGAAGATGAAAACACTGATGGAGAAATGTCAAATATTAACGCTTCATCGCTCGAAGATAATTCTAATATTCAGGAAACACAAGAAGAAATAAAAGAAGATTCAATTAACGATAACTTTGAAAATACCCCATTTTTAAATGAGGAGGATTCTGAAACCACGTTATTTGAAAATGCCGATACTGTTGAAGTCAGATCTGAGGAAAACGTGGAAAAACCTAATGAGCAGGAAGAAAACCCAGAAAATAAAATGGACGTTGATTGATTTATTACCTTTAATTTTCAGCTTTAATTTAATCTGTTTAGAAGTTACATTATGTTGTACCATCCATGTATAAATAAAGTAAAAAATAATATAGTTTTCCCTTAGAAATTACGAGTTTTTGGATTTTGTTGGTTCCCCTCTCCTTCTTTTGTTAAGAGGATTTCTTGGATCGTAGATTTCAAACCAATCGTCGTCTTTAGTGTTGGCATCTTTGGCCAAAACTAGATTGTCTGTGAAATGTAGTTTGTGGTGTAGCCTATCAAATAAACAGATTATTTTAAAAAATATGGTAAAACCATTTAAAAACACTTAAAATTACTGCAGTAAAATAGTACTGGCTAATACTAACTAAATACTAATACTACTTGAATGGTCACAACTAAAGAAGGACCCAGGAGCATCATCAAACGGAAAAGAACATTTAACTAGAAGCATTTCAAAATTTACTAACCAAGTTTCATCCTTATCAATATTTTCATTTTTATTATCTGTTTCTTCTTCCTCACTCACAGGTTCAGATTCCTTACTAGAGTGTAGTTTCTTCTTGAAGTTTTCTAACAATTGTAGTGTAAATGCCTCTCTTTCAGCTCCTGTAAACACAAGGTATAACGAATCAAGAAGTTTTCAGTCAGTTAAATAGAAATGAAAATTTTACCTTTTTTAGGTAGTGAGACCTTTAGCTTTTTGTATTTGTCAACTTCATCATTATATTCTTGGAAAGTTTCATCTTTCTCTTTGCTATCTTTTGATTCTTTGGCTTTTTGATCTTCTTTCTTCAGTTTATTTTCATGATATTCTTTTTTTACGTTTTTAATCTCTTTCTTCAATTCTTCCCTATAAAAACATAAGTTATACTCTATATTAAAGAGTTTTTTTATATGCATACACTTTTTTCTGTCTTTCAATGTCTCTATCTTTATTGAGATAATAGTCCTCCAATTCCTGGTCACCATCATCAACAATAACAGTTCTTTTTGTTTTAGTTTCTACCAATTTGGATGATTTTTTGTGCCCAGTTTTAAGTTTTTTTCTGATACTTTCCAGCTGCCTCTCTGTATCATCTTCACTTTCCGCATTTTCTAAATCTTTTGGGATTTCTTCTGTTTGAGAACTTAATTTCGGATCATCTATTTCAATAAAAAAATGAATTTTAAATTCATTGCTTCAAGCAAATTTAAATCATAAAACTTACTAAGAATATCATGTGAAGATTTTCCTTTTGATGATAATTTTTCATTTTCTCTAGCTGATATTTCTTCGTCCTCTTCAGCTTCTTCTCCAAAGGATAAAAGTTTGAAATCTCTAAATAGTTTTAATTAAAAATAAAACTACAACATTTTTTGTTATTTTTTTGCTTACTTAACACCCACTTTCTTTTCCTTTTTTTTCTTTTCTTTAACTTGAACCTCTTTGACTCTCGGCACAATATCTGGAAATGGATTGTGTAAAATTTCAGTTTTTAATATTTTGTAAGGATATACTGGTCGTTCATCTTCAATAAGTCCTTCAGCCAATTTAATCATGTTAAATACAGTATCACCTGGAAATAATAAGGTGTTTGTTAGAAAATAATGTGGATAATCAATGTTACATTACCTGTAACTTTTCCAAATATTGTGTGTTTGTTTTGTAGCTCTGGTGTTGCTTCAAGTGTGAAGAAGAATTGGGAGCCGTTATCATCTTTTCCAGCATTCGCCATCGCAAGTAAGCCTCGACGGGTGAAACGCAATCGTTGATGAAACTCATCTTTAAATGGTTCACCATATATTGATTCTCCTCCTGTACCATCACCCTTAGGATCACCACCTTAATGTTTGATATTTTTTTTAATAGGAACTTAGAGTTTTGTTTAAGAAGTTTAGTGGTGTAAGAAAATAACAAAATAGACCTATATCCAATAATATGATGTTAAGTTCTGATTATAAATTTAAATTAATTTTACCTTGAACTATAAATCCTTTGACTACTCTGTGAAATATTGTATTATTATAATAGCCTTCTAAGCATAACTGGAGAAAATTTCGACAAGTTTTAGGCGTTTCTTTAGCCCATAATTCAATATCGATATCTCCAGCTGTTGTTTTAAGTAATACCTAAAATTAATTTATTACTTTCTTTAGAAGCCATGTAAATGTACTTACTTTTCCGGAAGTTGGAGGTTCTAAAATATAAATATTACTCATAGTGAGGGATTAAAAAAGTATTTATATAAATATAAAAATAGCTCAAAATGTTTATTTTGAATTTTGGAAAATAAAATAAGGTTATGTTTTTTATCTCTTCTTTTCATTTCTATGGCTTTTGCCTCACTAGTTGTCAGCAGGGTTGTATGTAAAAGAAAAATAGAATTTGTATTATTACATGTAAAAAACTAATTTTTGTATGCTGTTGTTTTTAACGGCGAATTTGGAACCTGATTTATCGTTTCAAATTTGGACTCAAAATCGATGTATTGCGATTGGATACATTAAACCAGATTAAACCATAACATACATTAACCAAAACATACATTAAAATATTTTCAGGTCTGGTAGATCTCGATAAAAAAACACATTTCCTCTTTACCGTTTTTCAAATAAGCCCAAAATAACCGAGACATTTTACTGTGAAAATTTCAAAAAATTTTAACGACGAAATATATAATCTGCACTTTGAATTTTATTTTTGTCTTTTACAGGTACCGTATGCGAAAAAAAGGCTCCAGTTGGCTTGGAAATGACGATCAATGCTGTTCTCCATATAATTTTACATATAAAATAACAGCGATCTTCATTTCAAAGCCATTGCGACGCCATTTTTTTCGATCATATTGTATTTTTTAACATATATTACATTAAATGTTAAATCTATAACTTAATTAAGTTCCGTTAATTTTATAATTTTATATTACGTTAATATAAAATTAATATATACCTATACCGGGTGCGTGTCAAAAGTGGTTCACCTCTATAACTTTTTTATTTTTTCAGATAAAAAAAACTAGATTTGGTATGTTAGTATATGACATAAATTAGGATTGATTGACCTATTCAATTGTTGTCGGCCAGTTCCTGTTTCACCGGAAATGACTACAACTTTTGATTTTTAAATGGCACCCTCGGTACTTTTTACTTTGTTCGATAGAAAATGACATTCTGAATAGAATGACATATCAATATAAACTTTTAACAATCAATATAGACTTTTGACATTCTCGCTTAATAAAAAATCGTATTTTAAAATTCAATCTAGAGTTCCATGTTAAAAACACTAATTCTTAATCAAGGAGCCTTGGAAAAATAGATTTGATCGCCTAATGTTTTTAGTGTCTTGCCCTGACCAGTTAGAAAATGCTCAAATCGTATTTTTAATCATATCTCAATTTTTTCGAACGGAACGAAGGTGGCTCATTAGCATATTTGGAAAAAACACGAAAAAAAAACATTTTTTTACGAATAATTTGATACCACACACTTGGTATTTCGAGTCAAATTTTCGTTACGAACCGCATGTTACAATTTCAAATAAACCATATGCGAAAATTTCAAAAGTCGACATATGATATGTCATTCTATTCAGAGTGTTATTTTCAATCGAATAAAGTAAAAAAATACCGAGGGTGTCATTTAAAAATCAAAAGTTGCTGTCATTTCCGGTGAAACAGGAAGTGGACGAAAACAATTGAATAGGTCAATCAATCCTAAATTATGTCATATACTAACATACCAAAACTCGTTTTTTATTTAAAAAAATAAAAAAAGTTATAGGGGTGAGCTACTTTTGAGACGCGCGCACCCAGTATAAATAACGTTCATCGTGGATAACCACAATTTTTGTAGGCAAATGCATAAAACATAAAATCTAAAATGGTGGACTTATATCAAATTTATATAGAAATAACAAACTTCATTATTTCGTCAAATTTGGTCTAAAGTTATTGGACTATATATTTAGTTTTTAATAACTATTAATATTTAATTTCCTTTTAACGATAACCAAATGATTTGTGATAAAAGTTTATTGGTTTATATGATATAACAAGTAAACACCATGATAATATACAAATCAAGAACAAAGTAAAGTCTACGTAACGTACTCAATAACAAATATCGAATAACTAATAATTTTATAGATAAAACTATTATACAGGGTGTCTCAGAAATTTCGCAAGAGTTTCGATTTTTAAAAATATTTACCTAGTTATTGGAAAAAGGTTTATGCCACTAAACCAATTTTGAAATCTGTTTAGTAGATGTAAAATCAAATTCTAAAAAACTTTTTTTGACATATTTTATAATTTGATATACAGGGTGAGGAATAAATAAATCGAAATATTTTCATGGTTGGTACATCTTGATAAAAGAAACATATTTTCTCTTTGCCGTTTTTTAAAAAAGTCAAAAATAATGGAGTTATTTTACTTTGAAAATAAAAAAAAAAAATTTGTTTAAATTTTGAGAACAACTGAACTTTTTTCTAGGCTTTCGTTCTGGTTGCCATATTATCAAGATATTACTTTTTTTAAGGAAAAATTCAAAAAAACTCAAAAAATCTCATTTATTTTCGAAAAATACAAAATTTTCAATTTTTTTTTTCGCAAAAAAATCATAGACTTGATTCTAGGGTCTATACCACCCCTCAAAATATTTGCATTAATTAAGACTCACCCTGTATAATATTACACTACTGTGTTATACAGGGCGAGTCTTAAATAAGTGCAACTTCCCCTAGGAGATGCAAGACCTTGTCGTTGGTGGGGAAGCTCCTGGTCAGGTGCTGGGGGGAATCCCCCCTAGCACTTGGCTTGGTCTAAGAAGCATCTCACTCATCGTCTTGTCCCTGACTGTAGTGTCGTGGCTAGGGAATTGCACCAAGACATATAACGATACCGGGCGGGGCTACGTACAGCCTCAACCTTGGGGCACCAGGGGGCACCCCATTGTATTTTACCCCTTACTTCTACATGCGGGGCTCTGTAGAAGTGGACCGACTGTCCCTAGCGACTCATAGGAACACTATGAGATCTGGTAATAATAGTAATAAAAACATCACCGGTGAAGCTGTGGGGAAACCCCCTAGCGACACTGGGAACAGTTAACAATGAAAGTTCCAAGGGGCCAAACCCAAAGAGAACTACAGGAGAGGTGGCTAACACTTGCGTGAGACCATCCTCCGCAAGTGGCATACAAGCTACCACCTCCTCCAAGGGTCGGGAGCCTACCTCCTACCTCTAAACCCAACAGGCGACACAAGCTACCGTTTCGTCTACCCGGCCTGGGTCGTAGCTCCTCGACTGTGAGGGACACGGGTCTCCGTAGGAAGTCCTGGGACTATATGATGAGTTATAACTCAAGAAAGGGGGACACAATAGATCTCTAAGGTCGCAGAGATTAACCCCCCTCCCACTTATTCTAAAATTCTAAATAAGTGCAAATATTTTTAGGGGTTGTATATTCCGACCCAGAAACACGTCTATCAGGTTTTTTGGAAAAAAATGAAAATATGGAATTTTTTGAAAAATTTTCTGGAAATTTGTTTAGTTTTTCGTTTGAAAAACAATATCTTCATAATATAGGGGAAAATAGGTAATACATTAAATTTACAAAAAAGAAAACCTAGAAAACATCCAGTGATTCTCAAAATTTAAGCTAAAAATCAATTTTTGTGGAAATTTTCAAAGTAAAATATCTTGGGTTATTGAGAGAAAACATATAAGAGAAAATATGTGTCTTTTATCAAGATCTACCAGTCTTTAAAATATTTGAGACTTATTTAAGATTGTGGCCCTGTATAAAACTACTAATAAAAATGGATATATGGAAAGAGCATTTGGCTATGACAGTTATTGTCACATGACATGCCTATATGTCAAATTTTTTTTTGTTAATTGGTATGCTAAGTTGATTCTTTATAAACTTTTATTTCGATTATGTACTCATATTAATATTTTTTTTTCGTAATTGTTGCAAACTTTTTGTGCCACTCTATAGAACGATCAGATTATCTGTTTTTAATCGATTTCACTGTGAAAATAAAATTAATAGACCTAGCATTGAAAATGAGATGCTTCGTTTAAATTTAGATTAGTTGAGATATTTTTGAGGATCTTTATTTTGTTTTCTTTTTTCTTGATATTGGGACATATTAAAAATAGCTTTAGTTTATTTCTGGTGCTCATATGTGTTCGACATGTTATAGGAAATGCCTAATTAAAAAAAAAGAGCATCGAACGTCTCTCTTTAAAACAAAAAGAGATAATTTTAACAAGTTTATAGTCAATTACGCGATAAGGTTTCTCAAAGATATAGACAAATTAGTCAAGTAAGACGACGCAGTCGTGATTTATAGTTTAAAAAGTGAACGCTGCTTTCGAATGTGATTAAACAAGACTCACCATCGGAAAATAAGGATTTATCAAGATATCGAGGATTATGAGGGATCGAGATCGTGAATTAGAAGGTACGATAAAAATTTTGTTTATTTACAATCAACTATTTGTGCGAACAATTTCGTCTAATAATATTTATTCTGTAAATGATTATTTTTACAATTAATGTCCTTCATTTTGCGCGGTATATAGTATTCTATAGTATACAGTGTATAAAATATACATTAAAGAACTAATTTCCATACATTAAAATTCACCATTTTTATAAAAAAAAACAATCTACGAGTTAAGTATTTGCTAGTTTAATATTAATTAATATAAAATATACACGTATATACCTATCTGTATTTTTTTCTATTGTATTTGTGTAGTACATACATTTAATTTGATTACTTATTTATTTTTCATTATTTATAATAGTTTAGATTATTTTTTTAGTTTTAGAGTATTTTCGCAAAATAAATTACGCTTAGTTTTATCACAGACTAACCTAAACAGATGCGACAAACAATGCAAATGTGAAAATTATATTTTGGCGAATGCGCCAGGCAAATTTTTCCGTTAGATTTGTCATATAGGCGAATTTTACAGCGGACCAGAAAAGTAACCTCCATTCGTTTACTAAGAAGCCACGCCTCCTTTGTGTAGAAAATAGAGAGGGAATTTTGTAGTTCGGAATCAAATAGAGATGATTTTAATTTCATTGGTTTTTTTCAATTTTGATACATTCACAATCTATACCTACTAATATATAAAATTCTTAAGTGACTGACTCACTGATTAATCACGATCCTGCTCAAACCACTCAACGTAAGAAGTTCAATTTTAGCATACAGGTTGATTCTAGGGTGTAGAGGTTCGATAAGAAGGGACTTTTCGAAATTCCAGTTCCAAAAGGGCGAAACCACTCCCTCAAATATTACAATATTTTTTATTTAAAAAACTGTCAAGTTTCTTAAAAAACGCTTAAACACATATATTTTATTTTGTTTTTTTACATAAATTAAGATTTTTTAAAAATGTATACAGGGTGTTTCGAAAAATCTGGTCATTGATTAATCACGATCCTGCTTAAAGCGCTTGACGTAAAAAGCTGATTTTTGGAAAACGGATTGACTTTAGGGTGTAGAGGTTCGATAAGAAAGGATTTTTCGAAACTCGAATTCTAAGGGGGTGAAACCACCCCTCAAATATTAGAATATTTTTTATTTAAAAACCGATGAGTTTTCGGAAAAGCTCTTAAAAAACGTATATTTTATTTTGTTGTTTTACATATTTTAAGATTTTTTAAAATTTATACAGGGTGTTTCATAAATATGACCATTGAGTAATCACGATTCTGCTTAAACTGCTTGACGTTTAAAGCTGATGATTTTTGGCAAACGGATTGACTGTGGGGTGTAGAGATTCCATAAGGAGGGGTTTCTCGATTCCAAGAGGGTGAAAATGCCCCTCAAATATTACAATATTTGTTATTTAAAAAACGGTTAGTCTTTCGGGAAAACGCTTGGACACGCATAATTTATTTTGTTTTTTTACATATTTTGAATTTTTTTAAAAAATCATACTGGGTGTTCCAAAAAGTTGGGTAATTGATTAACTACGATTCTGCTTAACTGCTTGACGTAAAAAAAATTATTTTTGACAAACAGATTTTTCGAAAGTCAAATTCCAACGAGATGAAACTACCCGTCAAATATTACCAAGTTATATAATAATATCGCCATATTGTTTTTTCTCAGGCTCAGGACATAAATGTGAGAACATTTTATCCAGTTTGTATGTTAATGGAAATTTTTGAAAATTCCTCATCTCGGGGATGATATAGGGGTGAAAGTTGGTATGAAAATTTATTACTACCTGGCATAGAAGTATAATATTTTTACAAAGTTTATGTAGTTAATAAGTCGATTATTTGATCGAACTGTATGTCTATTCGCTTTTTTCGTATTAGAAAATCTAGGTATTTTCGGAAAAAAACACCCACAGTTTTTGATATAATTTAGTCCTAGAAAATCTAAAAAATGTATCTTCTTCAGTTTTTAGTGTTTTCTCATCCATTGAATGCACATTTTTTTAAAAGCATTTTAAATAAAATCAAAACAAGAAACTTAAACTGAATAGCTGAATTAACTAAAACAATACTAAGAACACCGTGAACTAACTAAATGTAAACCAACAAAACCCAACAGAAAATTAAAATCGAAACAGCTAATAATAATGATGTACCTATGTAATATCCATGTGAAACAACTGAAGAAACTGACTTAAAATCCTCTGAAAACCTTCAATATTCCCATCTTAGATTCCCATATTCTTTTTCTAGGACACTGTTGCCAATTCTACTTACCAATTTGTATAAACTATATCGGTATCACGGCACATGCAAACAATATGCCGTGTCTGTATCATAAAAGTACCTATTTGCTATATATAAAAGATCAGCTGCTAAATTTTAAATCAATTTAAAATATCAAATAAAATGATAGTAGTGCATAAAACTATTAACAAGCAGGATATAAAATAATTAAAGATAATTTAAGCTGTCTAATAGAAGATAGACTTTAGATTAATATTTGAAATTAACAGCTGAAGTACAGCTAAATACAAACGGCAAGCTGACAACAAAGATCCTATTCTTTAAGAATTTTATATTTCTGATATTTTATATCATTTTTAATTTTAAAGATATCGTCATTTTCTTTATACATATGTATTGATCTTAACCCATTGTTAAAGTTTGTAAATTTCTCATACTTTACAAATAAATATTAGCTGATATTTCCCTAACATCATGTAATTATAGTTATTTATTATTATCCAGGAGAAAGCGCTAATACAATTTACATATAATATTTAATTCTCACATAAAAAAGAATCAAGCTGGCAATCTCGCTTTGACTTTTATAATCGTACGTCGGCTGCGACGGCCAGACGAGCGGCGCGGTGTATCAAAGGCAAGGTTAAATGCGAGAAAGAACGAAAGAAATGGAAGCTTAGGGAAGGGGGGAGTGCGGGAACGATTTGAAGTGACCACGGCTGTTTGTTTGGCCGAATATTTTGCCTTCATCGACGGTATCGCTGCTCTGTCGTCGCACTTCCGAACATAGGTCTTTTTGAACACAAAATTTCCCATAAGGTGTCGCATCTGTTTAAGTTAGTTTGTGGTTTTATGCTTAAATTTTAATGCTAAAATGTACACTTAAAGGGTCCATAAAATATTTATTAGTTGTGAGTGTGAGATTACATTAAGTGAATGAGATATGATTTTTTCTTTTTGTAGTATTTAACGCAGGTGGAAAATCGCTCATACATTATTTTAATTTAAAAAACAAAATATTGCAAACGATATACAGGGTGGCGCACCTCATTCGCCTCGGTTGGTTATACGGAAACGTTAAGATGTAGAAACATAATTTTTTATGGGTATATGTAGAGAGGCAATGTGCATAATTTAAAATACTTTCCAAATGTACAGGGTGTGTCAGAACTAAGATCCATACCAAAGTTATATTTTTTCTTATGAAACACCCGGTATTTTATTTCATTTTTGGATTCTTGGACATAAAATAAGGTATTTATTATAAGGGTTTAATATGTTTAAAAGCTTTGGTTTTTGAGATATTTAAAGATATTTAAATGTGCATGCTATAAAAAAAAAGTTTGTCAACACCCCGTACATTACTTTTAAGAGTGAATTCTAGTGCTGACTTTGACTAAAAAAATGCATTGCTTCCTTAAATTTATACAGGGGTGTGAAAAATTGCTGGTCTATTTTAAATTTTTATTTTACATAAAAACTTTGTTATTTCAAATACAACGCGGGTCAAGTTTCGTTTAGCCGAAATCTGTTAAAAAAGAAAAAACAATTTTTTTGTCATTTAGGTACCTCAGGCAGTATATTACTGAAAAAATTTTGCCGCGGAAACGCGTCACCATTTTTTGAATGCGGTTTAAAAGTAACGAAATGACATACATGAAAAATTAATGTTATTTCATATTTTAGACGTCTTTGTAAATACTAATACGAAAATGAAATTCCGCGGAAATGCGCTGTTGCCATTTTTTTGAATATGGTTCACAAGTAACGAAATGAGATATATAAAAAACTAATATTATTTTATATTGTAGACTTATTTTTAAGCACCGATACAAAAATGAAAATCCGCGGAAATGCCTTGTTTCACCACTATGCAGTGATCTTCTTCCCGACCTTTGACACAGATCAATGAATATTATCTATTCTTATCAACTTAATATCGCTATGGTCAACAAATGCGAAAATTTAAAAACAATTGTCAATAAAGCATAAAAACGACAACTAAACCAAACCAACTAAAACCAAACCGAAAGTATGCAAAATAGTTGAGAATACTATGGAAAACTTAATATTGAAGATTTTCCATTACACCGCCCTTATGATAGATTTCCGCGGAAATAGTTATATAGAAAAGTTATAGCAAATTATTAATCAAACAAAAATATGTAGTTTTTATCTTCCTATCACATTTCGGCACTTCTAAACCCGGAAAAATCAATGAAAATTATTGTGATAAAAATATATTTTCGAATAAATTAGATCACATCGTTATATTAAATGTTTTACGTCATTCTATAATGAAAAAACTATTAAAAACCGTAAAGTTTTAAATTTTAGTTAATAATAGAAAAATTAAAAATTCGAGTTTACTCAAAAACAAAGAATTTCCGCGGCAAAAATCAAATTATGTAGTGCTAGTTTTCTTGTATAGAATCATCCTATAAACTGATATTCTATATAACTGATTTCGGCTAAACGAAACTTGAGCCTACAACGTCCTGTAATTTTTATAATAAATCGAAGCAGATTTATGCCCACTTGCGCCGTTTCTATAAACTTTGTTTAAAGGCTAAACAGTGATTAACTATATATTATTTTATTATAGTTAATCACTGTTTAGCCTTAAACAAAGTTTATACAAACGGTGCAAATGGGCATTAAATGCTCTTTTAAACTATATTAGGGTTTCCTATACCTATCTACATCAGATTTTGAATAAAAAGCCAGTCAAGTTGTGACCACCCAGTATAA